TCCAGCCTGGTGTACAGAGTTCCAGGTCAGCCTGCACTACAGGGAGACCTTTTCCAAAATAATAAAATAATAATAATAATAAAATAATTAGTAAATAGGATGTTGGGCACCAGGGGAGGGAACTGAACTGGGACACTGGAAAAGGCTGGGATGACCATCTAGGCCAGATTTAAGGAGGCCGGGTGGGTGGTCTTCCGGGAGTCTTACCCTCTGCACTCCCCCTGCACCGTTGCCTGCGGACACATCCACCTCATATCGGATATGGGTGGTCATCGGTGCCCCAGGAGGTGGCAGCCAGCGCAGCACCACGTGGCTGCCTTCCTCAGCCCGTCGTGCCAGCAGCCCTGTGGGGGCGTCCAAGAGCACTGCCAAAAGCAAAGTGAGGTGGATCAGACGGAGGAAGCCTGAGTTTTCGAGCCCCTACCCCATGTCTCTCCATTCCCCTGGAACCTACCTACTTCATTGATGTGGATGATACGGTGATAGCGCAGAGTCCCGGAGGTGGCTATGACTCGCAGTTCCAGGGGCACGAAGCTTGATGTGTCTGCGGTAGGCAGTGAGCACCAGAAACGCACTGTACCGCGGGTTGTAGGCGCCTGGTGCAGGCCACACGACTTTCGTGATTCACCCCTGTGTGCCCAGGCACCCGAGAAGAAAAGGTTGAACACTTGGCAAGGCGGGAGGTGCCTGAGGTTCTCTCTCTCTCTCTCTCTCTCTCTCTCTCTCTCTCTCTTTTTTCCCCTGTGCTCTAGTTTTCTTGTTAGAATGAGGATAATATAATCTACCTCATTAAGATTTTTGTTGAGGATCTGGCATTAGTGTGCCCTCATTAAGGTGTACTGCTATTAACTGTTACAGTTAGGATTTTTATTCTCCTTTCTGATTGGGTTGTAGTAGAAATAAAAGCTAACATTTACTGTCTAACTAGTTTCTGCAGAGTTCCTTACTGTGTGATCCACACTATAGTCCACACCAGGAAGTAACTGCTCTTATTTACAGAGTCAGGAATTTTCCCAGTTAAGATAGTAAAGGATAACTAGGAATTAACCTAAATCTGACTCAAAAAATTCTGTTTTTCTATAACTCTGCATTTTAGCTACAAAGTAAATAAAGTGATTTTCCTTCTTATTCATTTTTTTTTCATGTAGAGTAAAATATACTCATCCAGTCTTTCAGGAAGTCAGATATGAATATCGTTTTCTGTTGTGTAATCTTTTTCATTTATCAAGATTATATTAAAAGAGATGATTCAGTTGTGTACAAATTTGTTCTTTGGCTTATTAACTGTTGTTTTAATTATATAAATTCTGATTTTGTAGGCAATTTTAGTTCATTTATGCAGAAGGAAATTTTTGAGCAGCCAGAATCTGTTGTGAATACAATGAGAGGAAGAGTCAACTTTGACGACTATACTGGTAATGACATTTACTACTTCTTCATTTCAGTTCTTCATGGGGGTACCCTTAGCAACATAGTCATTTATTGTCCTTTATATAGCCTTATGGAACAGCTATAACTGCCAGACATCAGGGTGTGATTCCGCCTCACTACAGAACTAGAATAGTCAGATTCATAGAGACAGAAAGTGGGTTAACAGTACCAGGTGCTGGGGGAGAAGTAGGGAGTCATCATTTTATAGTTTTCTCCCAGGGATAATGAAAAGTTCTGGAGTGGGAGAATGGCGACGGGAACCTCACAGTGTGGATGTGTGTAATGCTACAGAATGGTACACTTAAAAACAGTTAAGAGAGTAAGTGTCACATACTGGGTACCTGCTATGACTGTCAGGGACAGTTATAGGCATATCCTGGACACTGTGGCTTTTGAAATGAAATAGACCTATTTTGTTTGATGGGAAGATTACATGTATCTGCCAGGATAGGTTTCTTTCATAACTGAGCAAAAGTATAAACTTATCCAGAGGTTTTTCATGATGCCTGTCCCCTCCTCCATGTTTAAGGTAGAAGTCAGAATTCAGTACTGGTCTCTAGAACATATATCATAGGAGTTCATAGACATCTTACGACCATAGATTTTTAGTCTCCAACTCATCTCAGACAGGAGGAAAGTATTTGGAATAATCTTGCCCTCAAAGTTCTAATAATGTATAAGGGGGGTAATATATAATTAACAGTTTAAAGAAAAGTAAATTATAATTCATAGCATTAGAAACACAGGTTAATGTTCAAATGCTTAAAGTTTAATGTTGAATTTAGGAAATATAGAGAATGAGTCGCTATTTGTGGAAAAGGGTGTTGGTATAAGGGAAAGCCTCATGAAGTAAGAGGGTATGTGTTTAAAAGGTGTAAATAGGATGGGGTCAAGTGGCAGCACTCAGAAGAGCAGTAGCTAAGGTGTCAGTGTGAAAACCATCAGGAAACTACTCATAGTATAACCTATAGTGTGTGTCCCAGATCTATTACTTGAAGAGATATAAAAGGAAATCTAGGAAAGAAGGTGAAAGGAATTGCTAGTGGGGGCAGTTGAGTGCTTATTGTTATAGAAGCTGCAGAGCCCTCAAAGACTGGGTTACCAGGGCCATTTTTTGGAGCTTTACTAAGGTGAACTGGGGGCCAGTGTCCAGTGTGAAGGAGGAGTGAGAGCCTGGACTGCACTTATTAGTAGGTTGTTGTTCTGTCTGGGACACAACAAAAAGAGGAGGAGGGAAGGAGCCATGGGATAGCAGGAGCAGGGAAATGAAAAATCCATATCCGTCTGTGAAAGGGGAGACCTAAGAGACACAGAAAATACCACTATTTTTAGGTATATATGGATTTAAGGTCAGGAAAAAGATTTGTGAAGGGAAGAGAATGAGACAAACTTTGAACACTTCATGGTGTACCTTTATCCCTGTCCCTGTTGTGTCATCCTGTGTTCCCAAGGCCCATCCTGAGGATAAAACTAGAGTCTTATTGTGCTCTCAGTTTGAATGTCTTGCAAAAGGTCATATTGTTAAGTAATTGTCTCCATTTGTTCCAGTGATGTTCCAGAGTACTCCACCTTCCTTAAGTATTCTTGCCATTTCTGGTAGTTATTGGCTTGTGTTTCAGATCTAGACTTCTCTCAAAAGCATTAGCAAACCAGATTTGATGGCACATGCTTGGAAGGCTGAGGCAGGAACATCAATGGATTGAGGCCAGCCTGGGCTACTACACAGAATCTGTTTTATACACCCATATAAAAGCCATTTTAGACCTTGGAGGATTCCTAGAACTACCTTAAAAACCACCAAGGAATTTTCTAGGACTAAGTTTAAGTAACATGGTATCCAGCTAATGTCATCTTAACCTCTCAGTTGTCTTGGTGATCATCTGTACTCCTAACCTCTCTAGTATTCTGTCTGCTTTATATCTAGCTTTCTTTTGCATGACCCCACCCTAGCTTCAGCCCTTGTTTCCTGTTTTTTAGCCATATTTTTGGTTTTGAATTAGTAAGTATATAGCAGTGCAAAGTAAAAGAATAAATAGAAAAAGACAGACTGATTTCTATAGATAGATAGGAATATAGGTAAATGGCAAGATAGATAGCAAAACATCAAATTGGATGCTCAAAGTTATCCAGCAGAAATTTACTAAGGAAGCCCCTTGAAGGCAGTCAGCTGGAATTCCCCATTGAGAGTGTCCTAGGCAAAGCAGAGTGTCCCCTCCAGTAAGGCTTCCAAGTAAAAGAACAATTAACAAATAGAGAAAACATCATCAAATTGGGACTCACAGCGTCTAGCAGAAACCATCTGGGGAAGTTGAGGCAGTCAGCTGGAGTTCCCAACTAAGCTTTCGCTCATTGAAGAGCTTCCCATGGCTGAATTTCCAGCTTCTCTTTCCCCCTTACAGGCACTTCTATATCATGGGATAAGCAATAGTAACACCCACTGGAAATGGTTTACCTTCCGGCTGTTCTCAGGGGCATCCACACAGTGTTTTTACTCTTGAGCTGTTTTGCTGTTTTCTTCCCTCCCTGTCACAGAGTTAGAGGGGCCAGCCCATCCTTGGAGGACACTTTGAGTCAAACATGTTTGGGTCTGAAGTCGGGGGAGGCAAACCCACTTCCAGACCTAGCTTCTCAGTGAGTTCATACAACACGTGACATTTTTTTTTTTTAATCATAGAAAATAAAGAATTAGGCAAATGACATTTTACTAATGTATTGTGTGTTTCCCTTCCCAAACCTTTACAGCATGTGCTATGGAAACATTGTGGTCTGATATGTAGCAGCTTGATCTAGTAGCAAGCACAGGAGACCCTTTTGGTTAGAATGAACCAGGTGATGGTCACATGGGACTCGAAAGCCATAAGAAGTAGTCTCCATATGGACTGGAAAGTTGGCTCATCAATTAAGAGCACTGGCTGCTCTTACAGAGGACCTGGATTTGAATCCCAGTACCCACATGGCGATTAATAGCTGTCTATAGGTCCAATTCCAGGGGATCTAATACCCTCTTCTGTCCTCTGAGGGCATTGAATGACATGGGTGTACTTACATACGTGCAAGAAAAACACTCATACACATAAAAATAAAGTTTTTAAAAAGTAGTAGTGATTATATTTTTAAAAACATTTTATTTATATTTTATATGTGCATGAGTGTATTGCCTGCATGTATGTGAGTGTACCCATGTCATGCAGTGCCTTGGAGGTCAGGAGAGGGCTTCAGATTCCCCTGGAACTGGAGTTAAGGACTGTTCATAGCCACCATGTGGGTGCTGGGAATTGAACCTGGGTCCTCTGCAAGAGCATCAGTGCTTTTAACCCCTGAGCCATCTCTCCAGCCCCAAAAAGTATTAGTGTGGATTATATTCTGTCATTTGGGAAACCAGAAACTCTTTTTGTGGTTGATTTATTTTGTTTCTACTTTGCTGGTGTGTAATGTGGTGTTTGATATGTATGCATGTGGAGACCAGAGGTTAACATTGGGTGTGTTCCTCAGTCACTCTCCACTGTGTGTGTGTGTGTGTGTGTGTGTGTGTGTGTATTTTTTTATTGAGCTTTTGTATATTTCATCTACCTTATGTTTTTGAAACAGTCTCTCACTGAACCTGGAGGTCACTGATTTGCCTAGGCTGGCTGACCAGTGAGTCCCAGGAATCTGCCTGTCTCCAGCTTCCTAGCACTGGAATTGCAGGCACCTACTGTTGCACCCAGTTTTTTACATGAGTGCTGGAGATTCAAATTCAGATCCCCATGCTTATACAGCAAACATTTTAACCACTGCTTATGTTTGTTTGCTTGTTGATTATTTGGCTTTGAGGCAATGTTACTTTGTAGTCAGGTTGGCCTGGAACTCACTATGTAACTCAAGTTGGCCTCAAACTCACAATCCTATTGTCTCAGCCTTCTAAGTGCTGGGATCATAGGCATGCACTCCTGGCTTTGCTATTCAGTAAAACAGAGTATAAAGTCATTGAATAAAATAAAAAGTCAAACATGCACCTTGGTTTTATAGTACAATTAAGATAGAGAAAGAGTGAGTAGATAAAGAGAACAGGAGCAGAGGAAGGTAATCAAGGGTGAGACCACAGGTAGACAATGCCCTCAAGGAGACACATCTTCCTCAGTTGGGCCCTAAGCTATCAGTATGGAGGTCTGACAGTCACTTAGGTCTTGACCAGGATAGTCACCTAGAGGTGCTCAAAAGTCTAGGTGAGCAATTGAATGAATGTTGAATGATACTTTCCCCCAGGTAGAAAACTAGTCTATGTAGAAAGATCCATTAAAAAAAAAGACACACACTGAAGAACACATAAAAACTACAGAGAAAGTAAAAGAGGACACTCTCACCTTTTTCAAGGAGAATTTCAAGATCAGATTTTTATTCTTTAAAGTTCACTGTGAAAGATCATTCTGGCGTGTGTGGAGAACAAACTCTAGGATACTGAGGGCAGAAGAGAGGAGAGAATGTTGCTGTCTTCCTCAGAGAGATGCTGGTCTATAGGGATTTCAGTGGAGGGATGTGGAAGATGGACATGCTGGGAACTGAACCCCAGCTCTTCACCAGTGCTCTTAACCACTCAGCAGTCTCTCTAGCCCAAATTTCTTTTTTTCTTACATTGATTTATTATACGTGGGTGTGGGTTGGGTGTACATGCAATGGTGTGCATGTGGAGGTCAGAGGGCAACTTGGCAGGCAGGAGTTGGTTCTCTTGTTCCATTATGTGGGACCTGGGGCAGAACTCAGGTAATTTGGTTTTATGTGTATGAGTGTTTGTCTGCATGTATATGTATGTAACATGTACATGCCTGGTGTCCATGGAAGCCAGAAGAGGATGTTTAGATTCCCTGGAACTGGAATAACAGGTGATTGTGAGCTACCATGTGGATGCTGGAAACGGAACCTTGGTCCTCTGCAAGAGCATTAAGTGCTCCAAGTCCTGAGCAATCTCTCAAGCCCCAAATCTTTTTTTTTTTTTTTTTTTTCAAAGACAGGGTCTTCATGTAGCCCCAGTTGGCCTGGAACTTGCTATGTAGACCCTCTGCCTCCTGAGTGTTGGGATTGGGATTAAAGGTGTGCTCCACCACACCTGGCTCAAAATAATCATTCTTAATGTAAAATTCTGTTTATTTTTTTTTTCTGAGACAGGATCTTGCTAAGTTGCCCAGACTAACTTTTTCAAATGACTCTGCTGCCTCAGCTTCCTAATAAAATTCTGGGTTTTGACAAATCTGTCTATGAGCATTGTCAATCCTGATATCTACAGAGTCAAGGCATAGGACAGTTCTTTCACTCCAGAAACTTCCTTATTCCCATTATCAGCTTCTCCCCAAATCCAGCTGTATTTGCTGTGTGTGTCCCTATAGTTCAGGTTTTGTGGTATCTTTTAGTCTTCAGAGAGGAATGTAAAAATGACCAAAACCAGAATGTAGCCAATGCCTATATAGAGCATTGTAGGGGGTAAGGTTAGTGCAAGTTTGATGAAGGCCCAATTAAGCTGTGAGCTATTAACTTACATAACTAATACTGGTGTTCTTCTGAAAAGGAATGTGAATTGCTTAAAATAGTAATATTTCTCAAGTAGACAATGAATTTTGATTGCCTATTTTATATGGTTCTTTTCTAAATAAGTATATGCACAAACTTTTGTTTTAGTGAATTTGGGAGGTTTGAAAGATCACATTAAAGAGATCCAGAGGTGTCGGCGTTTGATTCTTATTGCTTGTGGAACAAGTTACCATGCTGGTGTAGCAGTAAGTAGCCTCTTAACTTTTTATTTTATTTACTTATTTTTACAAAACTTTATTTTTTTTTAAT